CTGTCTCTGCAATAAATGTGTCTGACACGTGATTGACTCCAATGACAGGTTTGTATGTTGAAATGTGTGATAATGTGCAAAAATAAAAATTAATGGGGGGCAAACAGGGGCTAAGTGCTTATCCATTTAAAAAAAAAAAAAAAAAGTGGACACGTGACCTTCATGTGCAATTTTAGTGTATTTTTGTGGAAGATAATGCATTGGGAGTAATTGTGAAATAATAATGAAATGATGAATGATCAAATCCATTGTAAATGATAAGATCTGGCTTGCCATAGAGGGCCATAAGTGAGGGACTAATGGTGTATTTTTCCCTAAATAAATTGCTAATTCATACAAGTTGATTAAATATTTACTAAATAAAAGTTGAAGAGTATCAATTATCAAACTACATTCTATAACTATCTAAAATTTTTACATAATTATTATTATTGTTAATCTATTAATTAAAGATTTTTCACTTCTATTTTATACAAAAACAATATTTTAATAACAATTAGTTGATGACCTATACTTTTTAAAATATTGAGGGTCGACTTGCAACATAAACCATATGTGGATGTGGGAGACTAATATTTAGCAAAATTTTGGCCTGGTGAAATGATACAGTTTGATTAATATTTATGAAAATTTGCACTAATTGTCCTCAAAACTATAGGGTTTGTGACAAACATATCCTCATGCTAGTTTTTACGGCCACACCTTTTCAACTATGGTTGTTCCCCTTGTACACGGGGTGTATAGGTGCTGCGCTAACAGCAGTTTTATGATTGGAATTGTTTCTTTTTTTTTTTTTATCAATGCCAAGTGAAATAATATCAAGTGTTCCCTGTGAATCAATCTGGCAAAATTGAGTGTACGCATGACACAGTTCTTTCAACTAGCGGGTTAACCTTAGTCCAACGTGCTCTTAACACATTAAGTACACAATCATAGATAACAATCAACACGACACAACACTACAATAGACAAAATTATAATTTATTTTCCTTCTTTAATTGTAACGACCCGGCCTCTCACTGAAATCGTTATCTTACGTATTGTTCGCTCTGTGGTAGGTTTCTGCCCACTTATCTCCTCACAGCTTTCTGACGAATCCTCCAAAATTCGAACCCAAGACCTCCATGTACAAGGTGAAATGGTGTCAAGTGTTCCCTATGAACCAATATGGAAAAATAACCAATATGGAAAAATTGACTGTACACATAACATGGTTCTTTCAA